CTACTCCTCTCATGGTACCGCTCTGCTACCTACCCCAAGAAAGGAGAACTCAACTTAAAAAGGTCTTGTTCAAAAATATTAAGTAACACAACTTTCAAACGCCTGAACAGCAAATGTAATTTTCTTGTCTGTACAGTAAACACTGGCATTTTTATCTATTTGAATAATTCAAGTGGTACTTTCCGTGCCTTCTTGGGTGCAAAAATTTGAACTGCTTCCTGAAGGTCCACAAGCTGGGCCGGTTTATGCTCTATTGAGATGGTTGTAAGGCCGACCAGCCTCTCCTGTATCATTGTGGAGCGTAGATATGTTTTTATTAACTTCAGCTTGGAGAAGCTGCGTTCTCCACTGGCAACTGTTACAGGAAGTGTTAGAAGTATGCGCAGAGCAACAAAAGCATTTGGAAAGAGGCTGGTCATCTTATTTGTGCACATATATTCCAGAACAGCCTTTGGAGTTGATCCTGCTGAAATGTATCTTGAAAGGGCTTTCAGTTCATCACCTAAATCACTCGCAGCAATATCACGCATGTCATCATGTGTCAACACTGTCTCTAGTGCCCTGCATTGCTGGTGTAGGTCTTCTTCAGGTATCGTGAGGAGTTTGGGAATATCATACAACATCCCAAATATACTGCTGCGTTCCTTGAGCTGCATAAAATGTTCAACTGACTGTATTGCACGATCTAGCACCTGGTTAAAGAATTCAACTTTGAATTGTTGTTTGGGGTCTCTTATGGGATTATCTTGTGCCTCGTAATCAAAATGTCGTCTTTTTCGGTGACCCTTGTATTTTTGAATGGGTGGGAAAATAGCTTCAGTGTGAAGTTCCTCTGCCAACTTCTGTGCACTCTTCAGAACATTTTGAAATCCCTCATCTGACTGGTAAGACTGTAGGTATGACTTTGCTTTGTCCAGTTGGTTCCATTGCTCCAGATATATCAAGGTCAACACCTTGGAGTCTCTTGCTTTCAAACAGTATGTCATACCACAACACTAAGCCACACAGAAATTTCCCTCTGCCACTGTTCTCCCACGAACAGTTCCTGTCATAGCATTATCCTCCATAATGGCAACTATGGCATCATCTATCTTCTCAATTTGGTGTTTGATAGGCTTTATCACCTCCACTTGACTTTCCCATCGTGTGGCACTCAGTGGTTTCAGTGTCAGAGAGGATGTTCCCAGATGTTGCTTCAAAATTTGCCATCGACAAGTTGATGGAGAGAAAAATACATAGATTGAATTACATTAAAAAAATTGGCAAACGGTCTCACTAGAAGCTGGTGCTGACCACCAAGTTCAACGAATGAGAACTGCATGGGACAAAAAAAGCTCGAGGGTTTAACTCTCGGATCCGTGTCTGCACTCCTCTGTTCTTTCCTCTCAGGTTGGCCCCATTATCGTAGCCCTGACCTCTCATGTCAGCTATCTCAATTCCCGTATCTTCCAGCTTTTTAAGAAGCACATTTGTCATACCAGCTCCTGTAGTATCAATGTCAATAAATTCTAGAAAATGCTCTCTGACAGTCACCATTGCAGGGACATTTTCACTAGGTTCTGTTGTTGTTACAAAACGCACCATTAAGGTCATTTGTTCCGTATGGCTGATGTCAGGTGTGCAGTCCAGAATAACAGAGTAATATCTCGCTGACTTCAGATCTGCCACAATCTTCGGTTTGACTTTTTTTTGCCAGTAACTGTATGATCTCATTTTGAATTGTTTTTCCAAGGTAGTGGTGTGTGTACATTTCTTGGGTGGTGACTCTTCTCAGATACTCCTGGAGTACAGCTTCAAACTCAGCTATCAGCTCCATAATTTTAAGGACGTTTCCATTGTTTGGCACATACAGCTGATCTGAAGTGCCACGCAGTGCTAGGTTTTGGGTAGCAAGCCTTCTTACAAATAGCAATGAGCCTTTTCAGAACATTTTGCCAGTAACGAGAGACTGATGCAATCTTCTCTTGATGCTGATCAGCTATGGCGGCCTTTAACCTTAGTCTCATCTCAAGCTCTTACCACCTATGGAATGCTCTCTGGTGATTTGCTGCCTTCTCATGGCATGCCAGATTCCTCCCAGTCCTTTGTTCCTGTAGAACCCAATGTGGCTGGATCATTAGACTGGAAGAGTTTGCAACAAAAACAGTATGCAGCATTCTGGATTTTTGAGTACATACGCCATGGCCTCTCCACTTTGTCACCATTGGGGATTTCACATCAGTAATGTGTTGGATAGAAACTTCTATTTTCATTGTCTTTGGGGAACATGAAGCTTTTCACTTGCTGTGGCCCATGCAGTACAAGGAAGTCCCTTGGGCTACTGCTCAAGTGGGTCCACAGTCCTGGATCATCTAGACTTAAGGGACTAAACTCAGCAGCAGCTGTTTCTTGCGCCTCCACCACACTCTTCTCTGATCTACACTTTTCTTCAGGAATGTGCCTAGTTACATCCATTTGAGATGGAGATATGGATGTTGCAGTAGCTGCCAGGTCACCTGCACTCTGACTAACTGGAAGATCAGGCATCTCCTCACCACTCCCATCCTCACTGGGGCCGGAAGGCTCACCGTGAACATGTGTGTCTGTGTATCTCAGGAGAGCTCCTTCCTGCTTAGATAGAAGAGCTTCCTTTGCTCTCTTTCTTTTTCTGAATGCTGCCCCAGAGGGGTGTTTTCTTCTTTCACTCAGACTGCTGTTCTGTGCCAGCTAGAGTGGCTCTCAACACTTAACTGAAGGGGACAAATAAGCAGGCTGGTAGCAGGGCCTGAGTGAGGGAAGATATCAGCGTCTTAAGGGCCTAACTGGCTCCTACTACTTCAGTTGACCGCCTGTTCTCCTCAAGTGGGTTCAGGGAAGCAGCAGGAGACAGGAAGCTCCCTGAGAAGCTGGTGTGACACAATCCAGGCTCCTGGGGGTGCTAGCGAGGTGCATAAGAGGCTCCTCCTCCTCTCTCTCCCTGCAGCTCCTGCTGCTTTCTGTTCTTCCCTCTCACCTTTTCTCCTGCCTGCCTGTTATGTCTCTTGTGCCCTCCTTCCTCCAGCCCAGCACTCCACCATCTCTGTGCATCTAGAGCAGAGAGAATACATATGCACCAGCAGCAGACAATTTTCTACACTCTGGGTTCTAGTGGCACCCCCCACAGTCTGGCACCTGAGGCGGCCACCTAGGGTGACCAGATGTCCCGATTTTATAGGGACAGTCACAATATTTGGTGCTTTTTCTTATATAGGCTCCTATTACCCCCCACCACCACCACCCTCTGTCCTGATTTTTCACACTTGCTGACTGGTCGCCCTATGGCCGCCTGATGGTAAGGCCAGTCCTGGTTAGAGCTGATCTCCACCCCAATCTGTCCAGTGTTAGTGCTGCCCTACTGTGGGACTTCCAGAGCCACGCAAGAGAGGCAGGAGGACAGGTGGGAATAGAAACCCCAACTGCTGCTGCCCGGGCCAGGGTCCTGTCTGCTGGATTCCCCTTCCATTGTCTCCTTGACTGGGAAATATGGCGCGGCCTCTCCTGGAAGCAGAAAAACAGGTTCATTTTGTTTCTAGCCACATGAGTTAACTGTGTCCCACCTCTTGATCTTGCCAAACATGCTTGCAAAGTTGCATGCAAGTTAGGAGCAGAGATTAAAAAGACTGGGACTTTTCAGGTTGGAAAAAAAACAAATAAAGGGGGCCATGATTGAAGTCTATAAAACCATGAGGGGGAAGTGCATAAGGAAGCGTTATTTACCCCCTTCACACAACACAAGAACCATGGGGCACTTGATGAAATTAATAGGCAGCGGTTTAATACACATATAAGGCAGCACTTGGTCACAGAACGTAGAGTCAATCTGTGGAACTCATTGCCAGGGGACACTGTGAAGACCAAAAGTATAACGGGGTTCAAAAAAAAGAACTAGATACGTTCATGGAGGATAGGAGGATCAATGACTATTAGCCCAGATGGTGAGGGATGCAGCTTCCTGGGCTCCGTTTGCCAGAAGCTGGGAATGGGCGACAGGGGATGGATCACTTGATGATCACCTGTTCTGTTCATTCCCTCTGGGGCACCTGGCCTTGGCCACTGGCAGAAGACAGGACACTGGGCTAGATGGACCATTGGTCTGATCCATTCTTATGCTGCTAGTTACGACAGCAGCAGTTTAGAGGATTTCACTAATGGAACAACTATGCATACGGGATACCTAGGAAAGAAAATGTAGGCAGATTACCTTGGGAAAACTACAACACCACCACTCACCAGCCTGGGCAACAGTCTATTACCGACATCAGGAGAAGCTCAACGGCTTGAGTGTTAAGATTAGACCAGGAACTCGAAGAACTAGTTTGCTTTGGCAGAAACTGACTGGATGGGCTCATGTTTCTTTCTCAGACTTCCACGACCTAAGGGCTTCAGCAGCTCACCAGAGAGAGCAGCAGTAGCCCTTGGGGAAAAAGAGGAGAATGTTGCCAGACTCACTGATGTTTCTGGAACCCACAGGGCAGGACAGGCAGCTGTCACCCAGGAACACCTGGAATCTGTATTTTATTAGTTCCATTCTATACACGTTCTTATCCATTAGTAAAAGGCAGGCGGTAGGGAAGAGGCAAGTAGGTCACGGACGCTGTGTGTGGTGGTATCTGCATAGCATGAGGAGATGGGTGCAGAGCATTTAGCTTTGGGAATAGATTAGTAACAGCGAGCCGTTCTTCTCGTCCCCACAACTCGAGGACCAATCATTTGCGCTTGTCTATTGCAGCCATTCAGGTAACACAGCTCAGTCTCTCCGGGCCTTTTCCAAAGCCCAGTGCCGTCAATAGGACGCTTTCCAGCAGCTTTCTATGAGCTCTGGATTGGCCCAGGGCTGTGACTCTTTGGGATGAAGTTGGACAAAGGTGCTTTCTGCTAAACCCAGGAAGCCAGAGAGAAACAACATTTCCCCTGGATGTATCGTTGTCCAGGACAAACTCTGAATTCAGACAGAGGACAGCACACTGCATGAAAGACCAGAATAAGCATCAGGTGCAGAATTATATTTACCTGTAACAAATACTCCATACATAAAAGCATACATACAAAAACACCAGCATAAAAACGATGTTGGGATGAAACCAAGGCAAAGATCATCACAAGGTAAAACATACTTCAAACATGCAAAGTCCCCGTTTTAATTTACGAAACTCAACTGGATCTTTGGTAGCTTGGTTGGCTTCATAGTCCAACCAAAAGCTTTGAATGAAAAGGGAAAGAGACGTGTCTTTTACTGGTAGACCAAGGGTCTGATGTGCTTAAGAATCACTCTGGGCCTGTCTGGGACGAAGCCCCCATTGCTCACTCCCTGGCAAAACCAAAAGCTACAATTAACACAGTTAGTACCAGAATTAAGTCACGTCTCCCAATGAATAAAGTATAAAAAATACTGCAGCTGATCTGTCTTTTATAGATTTCATTATACAATTGTTTCAAAAATAGGATTTTATTTTCACAAATCTTCAATGACTGTTAAACTTCATTTCTTTCCAAACAGTGAAGATATAAAAAGGCACTAAGAACTCAAACTACAGAAAGACTCTGGATAAACGCTCACATCCCCCGTTTCTGAAGAATTGATGGATTTAGCATTGTACCAATGGTTTGTGCTGTTAAAAAAAAAAATCTGGACTCCAATGCACAAATCCTGCAGGAATATTGAATAGGAATCCACAAGAGGCCTGCATCCAACGGAAAGGCTAAAAGCTGTTATTACCAGGGGTTTCCCACACCAGCGCCCTGCACCTACCCACTGAGTAAGATCAACTGTGTCCCCTTTAACAGCAGTGCTCTCCAACACAACACACACTAAGAAGCTACAATGCCTCACTCCCCCACGGCATTGGAAAGATTGGGAAAAGGTGAATTTGTTAACCTGAAAAGAAACCACAACGTTTAAATTTCAACCTCCAAGTTCATGCACCTTCTGGCATGTTACTTCTTTAGGTTGCAAGGATATGAATTTTTGTTTTGCCCAGTTGATCGTCTCAGACATTTGGAGAGTCACGCATAGAACTTGGTGACTTTACACATGGGCCTGCCAGCTAGTTACTAGCCAAACGGGGGAAACAAAACTGTCTGATCAATTTAAGAACTCATTCATGCATAGATTTTTCAATTAACACGTCTTTGGCGTCAGCAGGCCTGGAGGCCTGCCATTAAGGTGCCAACACAGTAAGTATCAGCAGGTGAGCACTGGGGAAATCCTGACTTATGGCATCATGGTGTTGAACTAAAATTAATGACCTGTAAGCTAATTAATGGAGAAATGCAGTCATTCAGCTCAGGCAAACGGTTGCCCACCTGCTCCCTCCCTGGGGCTTTGCCCCGAAATGAACCCCAGACGGACATGCCCCATTTAGTTCAACACTCCTCATGAGGCCCCATATCATAGAAAGCCTCTTCATGAAGCCAGTCAATGGTGAAAGGCTCCCCCTCCCCACTCCCAGGGTAGCATGCCAGCGCCACAGCAGAGAGGACTAAGCAACTCCAAAGAGAGACCTTCAGTGGGAACTTTGGTGGCAGTACAAACACTGGGGAAGAATTTAATCTCATGTAACTGCATCTGCTCCACAGGAGAGCTTCCACCAGGCCAGTGACAGCTGCAAGTGGACATAGCATAGTATCTCTCGATCAAGGACCAGAGCCAACAATGCCTGGAGGATGTCCGGTCTAGTCAGACGATGGTGGCAGCAAGACGGTATTGATGCAGCAGAATGTGCTAGGCACAGAGCAGCCTGCTTGGGATGTAAAAATCTCTCCTCCCGCCTCCCCATCTCATAGGAGTCACATTAGAAGCTTGTCATGGGGCCAGAGGCTCTTCAGGGAGTATCGGGGCCTAACTGGCCCATGACGACTCTGTGGGGAATACCTGGGAGCCTGAGGTGATCCAGGTAGGGCCCCTTTAACTAATTAGAAATGGAGCAGCTGTGTTAAGAGGAGACTCCTATAACAGGAAGTCACCCAGGAAGGGAAGATGCTCTCTAGAGAAGCCCTGCAGCTGATGCAGCCTGGAGGAACCACAAGAGGAGGACAAGGCCTCTCTGGGAATAAGCCCTGAATGAGCACTTAGAGTTGAGAGTGAGAGATCCCCAAGAGAACTGTCCAAGTCCCAGGTGAAGGGGAGCTCCAGGAAGAGAGCTGGTGTTTGCCTCGAGCAGAGAGGCCTGCAGTTTGAGCCTGACTCCTGGGAAGGGAGCAGCAAGGGGAAGAGCATGATGACCAGGAGACACATACCCCATAGAGGGAGCAAGTAGAGACTGAGGCCCAGCATGGACGGGGTGAAGCAGCGGAGTCTGGGAAGGCCAGGGGGCTGCTGGCAGTTTTCTGATGAGAAGAGGCAAGACGACAATGGCAATTCTAGTAAGAAGGAAATGGAGACCTGGGACTATTTCTTTCTGTTAGTTATTGGTTATTAATGAATGAAGCTCCCCATGAATAAGGGATTATTGAAGGCAACGTGAGTCAGGACTGATTTATATAGCCAAAAGGGGAAACCGAGAGCTGGCTCTTGGGCCTATGACAAAGCTATACACATTTCTTGCTATTCCAGTTAGCTTAGAATCTAAAATCACATTTGAATGAAAGATCCTAAATCTTGGAAACTAGTACAAAAATTGAGGGGAATTATTAATCCATGGAGTAACTCCACTGAAGACAAAGTTACACCAGAAATAAGATTGGCCCAGTCAAAATGTTTCCCCACTAGAACAGTTGGGAAAATCCAACCTCAAGACATAGCTGTGCACAGCAAGAGACGCCTGCTTTTCTGTTTGGGCGCATGCTGCCAGATGTCCAGGAATTCATCTAACAGGGCAAAGCAGCCTCAGGTTTCCATTCATCTGTCTTATCCATTTAATTTGCAGGATGCTACTTTAACTGTCCCAAATTTGGGGCATCCTGACATGCTGTCCTGGCTTCACTTCAATACACAAAGCTGTCGCGTCATGACCGGATGATGCTACCATGACCTGATGGAACACCGCATCAAGACACAAATGTCAGGCTACGATTTTATCGTGCCGGACAAGTATCACTGCAGTCTCGGTCACCTGACCGTTTTACCGTCTGCAGCGGCAGCATATCTCTGCTGCAAGATCTCACGTCAATTCCCCTTTAGGGCAGTACTTTTCCGATGATTTTCAATGTTTTCAAAAAATCAGAAGTTAAACTCCTGAAGAAGTGGCAAGATTTTCAAGAGTGCTGTGCACTCCGCAGTCCCAGGGGAGGCCATGGGAAACTTTGGTGCCCAGTATTCCAGAAAATGCAGCCCCCGTTAGGTGCCTACAGAATTTATGGATTTAACTTTAGGCTCCTGGGTTTGAAAGCCTCTTAAGTTGATGGCAACTGTAAGAATGATCCATGTAGAAAGTAATCAATCATGTCCCTGTCATCTTAGTGCTTCTGAAGAATAGAAAGGCTCTCTTCTGTACAGAAAACTAGCCTACAGTAAATCTGCAATGGCTTCTACTTAGTCCCAATTCCATTAAGAAGAGCCTTGGAAACTGACAGAAGACAAAGATGAGGAAGTAATTTCAGAAGTGTTTTAGACTTAATACCGTTATGTAAGCTAAAACAGCAGAGCTTTAAAGGTGTAGCAACAACCCAGTTTCTTCCCCGTACCTAAACTCAAGGTTACAACCGTACTAGGCAGTCTAGATGTAGAAGGTTTTCTTGATATCGTCTGCCTCTCAAAATTATATACAGAGTCAATACGGTATTTGAATTCTGAACTCAATTCTTGGACAGACCATTCAGTCAGAAATTGCAATTTCCTATCAATTTCTTTCCCAGAAAAACACAATTGCAAAGGGGGGCAGAAAGCACCAGAATAAATGCTCCTTTCAACGTAAAAGAGAATGATTGTGGTCCGAGGGGAAAGCGCACCAACACCGGGAATACTTGTGTGGTGCTACTCCAGCTCTTTCCAACACTCCTTTCTCCTTGGCGTCCGTGTGCACACACACGTGTGTTTGCTGGGAAGAGGGGGGGCTGAAGGACAAGCGGTGGTTGTAATGCAGGGACAGCCAAGCTTTGAGAGGATGGAGGGCAGCACTGGTCATGAACCAGGGGCCCCAAGAGCTGCAGCTGCCGCACACAAGATTTCCAGCATTTTTGTATACAAATAAAGACGTGCACACAATAGATCTGACATGTTCTTTGGTGACTTGAATGTTCCTGTTGGTTAGACACTCCCAGCAATACAAACCTGCCACTGACGAGCTCAGTCCTCCCCTTGTAGGTCACAGGGCTCCAGGGCACCCATGCCGTAGTGTATTCCGAGTGCCAAGGGCAGCAGAAACCAAGTAATTGAAGGCAGCCAGCTTAGGGAGCAGCCATGTGCTTCCTGCTCCAACCCCCCTATTTAAAACAGGCTGTGCTTCGTGAGGGGATGTCTACACTGCAATTAAAAACCTGCAGCTGGCCCGTGCTAGCTGACTTGGGCTGCAGGGCTATTTAACTGCAGTGTGGACTTGGGCTGGAGCCTGGGCTCTAGGACCCTGCAAGGTGGGAGGGTCCCAAAGCTCCCCGAGTCTGAATATCTGCACTGCAATTAAACAGCCCCGCAGGCCGAGACCTACGAGCCCAAGTCAGGCAGCAGGGGCCAGCCATGGGTGTCTAATTGCAGCACAGGCCTAGTGAGAGCATTTGCAGGAGGCAGGTGATTGAATCTGCTCAAATGCAAAGCTAACATGTGGGGAGAGGGGAACCCCACTGGAGAGGCACAACAGGAGGGGAACCCCTCGAAAGCAGTAATGAGTCACGGGGCTGCTAGTGGACAGCAACTTAGATAGGAACTTGCATGTGATATGGAGGCAGAAGTTAGTCTATGTGCAGAATGCCCCTGATCCTGACCAGGGAGATCTTCGTCCCTCTGCCAGCAGGCTCTGGTAAGGCTGCCCGGAAGAGACTGCATTCAGTTCTGGGCACTACAGGGCCAGAAAGACGGTCAACAAGTAGGACAAAAGTGAGAGAAGAGCAGAGAAACGATTCCGGGGCTGGAGTGACTGGTATACAGGGGGAAAAATAAGAGTAGCTAGCTTGGCTAGATGAGGAAGGTGGGTGTGATAACGGTCTACGAGTAATGGAGAGAGAGAAACATCAAGGTGGAGGAATAGTTTAAGATGGTTTTGGAAGGAGTAACAGGAAACAATTGGGGGAAGGGGCAGGGGGAACTTAGCTGAATCAGGGAACACTTGCTAATGGTGGGGAGAAGTGTCTTGGGATTGCTGGAACAATAATTGAGATCAGTTGGGATATCACTGAATACTGGACTAGACAAAAATCATCAAAACATACTTGGGGAACATTGGATGGACAAGCTGATTGAGAACCGTTTCCATCTAGTGTCTAGGGCCATGATCTTTTAGAGCCACGGGCTTGTTTTGCAGGAAGAACTGTGTGTGTTTATCACATGATTAGAAAGCAAAAATAACCTCTGTGGTGCTTGACTGTCTCTTTCCATGGCGAGGCTAGACATTCAGGGAACTTCAGTAGCAAAAGACTCTCACCAATGCATTCGTGGTTTATGCTCTGCCGAAGGGGTTTTTTAAAAGCACAAGCAAACATTAGGTATGTAAGGAGTCCCTACCAGATCCCATCCTTGAGCAGCTTCCTCTCTTAGGAGACCACACCAAAGTATCCTCAAATTCTCCATGCACAGTTCTGTTCTTATCAAAAGTCCCCTTCATTCAGCCACTGCTTTTTGTCGATTCCCTATTAGTCACTGAAGTCTGGTTTCACTGGACAGTACCATTCTCGCTCGGAAAAAAAATGAAATTTTGAACCATCCATATTTCAATATGAACCGTGGGTGGCTTTTCCTTTGGGTTTTTGGTTTAAAAAAGTCATCCTAGGATCCTATCTTTTAATTTCACCAACATTGAGGTAAAAGGAATGACTAAGAATATTATCTAAAAATAAAAATGAACTATGGGCATTTTCCCTTGTGTCAGGCAGTGGATGTTACTGAAAATGTAAAGAATTCCAGTGACGTTTCGGGCCTACAGCACTGTAGGTCAGGAGAACCGCATGCTGCAACCAGGTGAAGTTAACGGATGTCTTGAAGAGGAGGAGATCCCTCAGCCAGGTCAGTGCATGACTGTGCCACAGGGTCCTGTATTGAACACAGAAAAACAGACTTTGGAGCTCTCTTGTTTCAGTGGAAGTACGCGTGGGAACAGAATGCCAGCTCTGTTTGATGTCCTATTCTTGACAAACTAACGTGCCCAGCCACCAGTACGGGATTTTAATTTACTTTCAGTTATATCAAAAAAAGTGAAGAAAGAAACCCCTGGAGTCCATGAACAAATAGGGTTTTGCTACTGAAAGGGCTGAAGTATCAACCAAATGTTCCTTTGAAGGTCAGTTATAGCGGCCAGTATAGATATTATGGCATGGAATACAGATACAAAAAATAAGTGTATTTATAATTGCCTGTATAATATATACAACCTGTACATTAGATATCTATACATCCATCCCACTGCTAATTTCATAGAAAGTTTACTTTATCAGTTTAACTTGTTACCATCTCACCCTTCAAGGGTGACCAAAATCCACTCCCCATGCAAATAGCTACTGATGTTGAACTCAGCCTGACTGAGAATTTCCTGGTTATTGTAACCTTAAAGGGGAAATTCTAAGCAATAGAACAAATTTACGGTCACTTCCTGTTTGAATTCACCACCATCTGTTGGAGTCAATCCTGCTAGATGCTCAGAGCCCTGAACTCCTTAACAGCGTCAGTCCTGCAGGAGGTGCCCAAGCACCTTGCAGGGACAGATGCTACGGGTGTTGGGGAGGTATATATGCACCATGGCGCCCTCTGGGGAGCAGCAGGAAACCTGTCACGTCTACTTGTGCTGGACTGGGATTGAGATCGGGTTTTACTGAATGAACAGTTGTGCTTGTGAAGGTTAAGGGGCTAGCAGCATTGGAAACATGAATCCATGTAGCCCCAGGCCAGAGAGCACACAGAGCCACAACAGGAGCTCTCACCACACACACACACGCACACACGCGCCCAACCAATGACTTTGCTAGAGGTAAAAATGTGGTTCCATCTCCTATTTCCCTCAGGTCCTAGGCTTTTCCTGAGCAAAGACTGCCAGCCATGCTGAATGGCAGGATTGGTTTTAGACCTAGACTGTCCACTAGGACAGCGCTAAATGCACCAACACTCATGCCCCACTCTGCACTATGGGCTGAATTTGAACCAGAGTGCTAGAGGCGAAAGGCCAAGGTTACCCACGCCACGCAACTCCCCTCCTGCAAGGGGACAGCCCAGAGGTCACATTTGCAGAGTTCCCTCTGTGACCAATGAAGAGCAGCCAACGTTGGCCTTCACTACAAAACAATCACGTCAGTATCGCAGCAGACAGCCTTCAGGTTCGGATTAGAAATGTTTCGACAACACCAACAATAGGTTTAAATTATTCACATTGTGGTAAACTTCATTTAAAAAAAAAAGTCTGAGTTACAATAGGAATATCATGTGCAAAACTGTAAACCCGCCATCGGGTCCCAGCGAGCTGTTACTGCTCAATGCAAGTTTCTTGCCCCAGCTTCGTTGCATCACTCCAGAGCGACGACAGCAAAGAAAACACAAAACCGAAGAGAGTTCTAAGAAGTCAGAGGAAGGGACTCCGGTTCCATCTCTCAACCCGGGTTACTCTCACACAGCACGCTCACCTGCACGAAGACACACACATGCCTTCACAGTAAGAGGGCACCAGCCACCATCACAAAATGGGCACCAGTGAAGCCATTGACAAGGGGGGAAATAATCACATCCCAACTCATCCTTGGAGCCTCTTTCAGACTGGAAGGTCAGGAAGACAGCAGCAAACGTTGCTGCAATCGCTACATGGGGGTGAAAGAACAATACAGCCCCTTTGAAAGGAGCTGTCTTCTCATCCTCCCTCCCACAGCAGTGTCTCATGATGAATCCTGGTCCATGCTGCATCCTAGAGCTTCAATGTCGTTGCTTATGTCAGAGATCATTCGGTCCCACTCGTCTCCCTCGGAAGGGGCAGACTGGTCATCCGAGCTCCCCGCAGCTCCATTCCCATTGGTCGTTGAATTGGAGGTAGTGCTCAGAGTCCGTCTGTACCTCCCGAAACTGTCTGTGATAATTCCCCGGCCATCCTTCACCCCGATGGTTTCTAGGAAGTTCTCAAAGTGTTGGCTGTCCTTTTCAGGAATGAACGGTCTAAGGCCTTCCCCAGGAAATAAACAAGGAGGAAAAATTAGTCATTTGATACATTTAGCATGACAACGTTACACTGATCAAGACTATATTCGTGATGTTCTTATCAGGGAGAGCTTTGCCCAAGTAAAGGCTTCAGGATTTGGTTGTAGGACACCAAGAAAGTCAAGATGCAGCAACTGAACTCATCCTGTCTCCTCTCCCCCAATATCTGAGGCTCAAATAGCCGAGTTTTCTGTTTTAACGAAAACTCCAGTCACCCAAGCTGCTAGTGACTGTGTGGGACGGTGTCACGTCACCTCCTGCACTACAGCAGCTTCCCCATCTCTAAAACGGGGTCGCTTTCTTACTTCACAAACGGGTGGTGACACTTAATTAGCTCATGTTAGTAAAGCTCAAGGAGATCCTCAGACGCAAGGGACCAGAGGAGTGTAGAGCACTACTGAGTTTAATTAAAAAAAGTCAAGAGCAACTGCTCTGTATCTATGAGACGATGTACTCCCAAGCCCACGCTCTTCAGTTCTGCCCTGTCTGCAGGAGAAGGCTCCCCTTTCAGTGCTGCCACCTCCTGCGGGTTCAGAGGGAGGTACTCCAGCGCCAATTATTTCCACCTTTGTCCCCATGCAGCGATTAACCATCTCTCCCAGCCTGACCAGCAGGATTTCGAGTATCCCGTCCAAGAGAGAGCAGCTCTGACCCCTGGCCAGCTGAAGAACGCTTAACAGCATACCCCTGGTTATTGTTTAGACTGTATCGTGCCAGCCCCAAAGAGCTTACAATCTAGTTTGAAACCAGACACAACAAGCAAATGCAAGAAACAGGAGGGAGGAGAATACTAATGAGATTCGACAGACAAGGTGAGTAAAGTAGTATCTTTTACTGGACCAACGTCTGTTGGTGAAAGACAGAAGTTGGTCCGATAAAAGATATTACCTCACCAACCACGTCTGTCTAATATCCTGGGACCAACATTGTAAACTAATGAGATCATGCAGTTACATGCTGTAGGCTCATTAGGGGACAAACTTAATTGTTTTAAAGCAAAAATCAATTGTCTGAGACTGCCATTCAGCCTCTCCATCAGAGCTGATTTCTTGGTGGGTCTTCCAACCACGGCAATATATTCCTTCTGTATAAAAGGAGGTCCCACCCTTTGACAGGGTTCAGTATTGAGTCCAACCAGGACTCCATCCTAAGAGCCCTTCTATAATCACAGCTAGAGGACCTGAGACAAACAGGAACCAAAAGGCTGTTTAAAAGAGGATACAGAAAGCCAAGATCCCCCAAATCACTAATCAAACAGCCCAATTCAGCACTGACTCCGAGGCAGTCCCAGTGGCTCCAGTGGAGTTGCCATGGGGTAGAAGTCAGCACTGAACCAGGTCCATGCATTTTAAGACTATTTCCAAAGCAGTTTCCCCAGCCAGGACCAGAGTTCGGGGTTGTTTATTTCATAGACAAGAGTTAACAGCATCATCAACAGCCCGATCAGTGTGGGGGAATGCTCTGCTGTAGGCACTGCTGGAAGCAAATCTTGCCAGGAGGAACATATTGCTGAACTCCTGGGTCCTGGCAAGAGAAACCCCATTTTGTTCACCTGTGAGGCACGATCCTGCAGTAAACCTCCCAAGGAGCACGCTCGGGGCCTTAAGGCATCTCCGTAATTTGCAAGACTACTTGTGGATCCTGTGGAATGATTACAGGCCTCTGAGTTTTGTCTCCCTGTTGGAGGGGAATCTGGCAGATTACATAGAAAACAGTGGGGGGGGGGAAGGGGCGGGAGTAGACAGACCTACTCATCACATACATACAGCCTCCCCACCCCCTCCAAAAAACTGCAATTTACAGTTAAAAGCAAACAGCTCTGGCAGCCTCAGTACCTGTTTGTGCTTCTGAAGACTATTCACAGGAAAGATTTCACATTTTAGACGATTGCTGTGATTAGGTTAGGAGCAGAGAGGTTATTTTACCTCTGTATTTGGCACTGGTGCGACTGCAGCTGGAACAGTGTCCAGATCTGGTGTGCACAATTCAAGAAGGAGGTTGATAAATTGGAGAGGGGTCAGAGAAGAGAGACGAGATTGATTAAAGGATTGGAAAACCTGCCTTATATAGTGTTAGACTCAAAGAGCTCCATCTATTTAGCTCCACAAGGAGAAGGTTGAGGGGTGACTTGATCACAATCTGTAAGTATCTACATGGGGAACAAATATTTAATAATGGGCTCTTCAATAAATTAAATTAATGGAGATATCCCATCTCCTAGAACTGGAAGGGACCTTGAAAGGTCATCGAGTCCAGCCCCCTGCCTTCACTAGCAGGACCAAGTACTGATTTTGCCCCAGATCCCAAAGTGGCCCCCTCAAGGATTGAACTCTCAACACTGGGTTTAGCAGGCCAATGCTCAAACCACTGAGCTATCCCTCCCCCCTCATCTAGCAGAGAAAGTTATAACAGTCCAATGGCTGGAAGTTGAAGCTAGACAAATTCACACCGGAGAGTAATTAACCATTGGAACATTTTACCAGTGGTCGTGGTAGATTCGCCATCACTGATCAGACTGGATGTATTTCTAAAAGCTCTGCTCTAGGAATGTCGTGGGGAAGTTCTCTGGCCAGTGTTCTACAGAACGTCAGACTAGATGATGACAGTGATCTCGTCCGGCCTTGGAATCTAGGAATTATCCTGCATTGATCCTTTTGGTAGAATCTGACTGTCAAGGCGAGGATCAAGAATCATACCCAAACGTCTCATGAAGAGTTAAGAACGGCCATACTGGGTCAGACCAACGGGCCATCTAGTCCAGTATCTTGTCTTCTGACAGTGGCCAGTAGCAGAAGCTTCAGAGGGGGATGAACAAAACAGGGCAATTATCGAGTGATCCATCCCGTCATCCAGTCCCAACTTCTGGCAGCCAGATTTACAGACATCCAGAGCATGGCGTTGCATCCCTGGCCATGCTAATGGCCACTGATGGACCTATCCTGCCATGAACTTATCTAAATCTTTTCTCAACCAAGTTATACACAACATTCCCTGGCAACGAGTGCCACAGGTTGACTGTGTGTTGTATAAAGTACTTCCTTTTGTTTATTTTAAACCTGCTGCCTATTAATTTCATTGGGTAATCCTGGTTCTTGTATTACTGGAAAGGATAAATAACACTTCCCTATTCACTTTTTCCACACTACTCGTGATTTTATACACCTCTATCACATCCCCCCTTAATTGTCTCTTTTCTAAGCTGAACAGTCCCAGTCTTATTACTCTCAACTATTCCATACCCCTAATCGTTTTTGTTGACCTTATTTGTACTTTGTCCAATTCTAATATATCTCATTTCTCTCCATCATAGCAGTAGGTACGTGGCACGACATGGTAGGCCGTCACCTAAAATATCTCCTCCTTAACACTTTGGTAGGCTTAGGGTTTAACTACCTTATTTCATAGAGTAGAATATTAGGGTTGGAAGGGACCTCAGGAGGTCATCTAGTTCAACCCCCTGCTTAAAGCAGGACCAACCCCCAACTAAATCATCCCAGCCAGGGCTTTGTCAAGCCGGGCCTTAAAAACCTCTAAGGATGGAGGTTCCACCACCTCCCTAGGTAACCCATTCCAGTGCTTCACCACCCTCCTAGGGAAATAGTGTTTCCTAATATCCAACCTAGACCTCCCCAACTGCAACTTGAGACCATTGCTCCTTGTTCTGTCATCCACCACCACTGAGAACAGTCTAGCTTCATCCTCCCAATCTATTAACGTAATCAATTATTCTTCAACTATCTCTATTAAATATCTAATTTATTGTGCTAATTATATCCAAACTGTAGGAAGCTTCTTGTTCTCCTTCACTTTGGCAGAGCAACAACACGCAGTAGAGCTGTCTGATTTCCGGAGGGTTTTTGCATCAGCCTTGGCATGCACTGCCATGGAATACATGCCCTTCTCCTAAACTACTCCTCTACCCAGATAGAACACAACCCGATATAACACGAATTCGGATATAACGCGGTAAAGCAGCACTCCGGGGAGGCAGCGGGGCTGCGTGCTCTGGCGGATCAAAGCAAGTTCGATATAACGCAGTTTCACCTATAATGCGGTAAGATTTTTTGGCTCCCGAGGACAGCGTTATATCAGGGTAGAGGTGTATTAATGTTTTCCTTGTCGTTCTCAATGAGTCAGTATTGCACAGAGGAAATAACATGGGCTCCCTCTGGTGGCCAACATAACACATTTGCAGTCCCCTGGATGTGGAAGGAACCAGTCACGTTTGCTAACAATAATTCATTAAAAAAAAGAGTGGAGATAAAGCCCAAAAGCCCAAAGGATTGCTCAGCACTGAGACACGTTGTGCAGCTTTACAGATCTTAATACGTTAACAGCATCAACATGCAGATTAAAGCATATCGAGGAAAAGGTTCCGAGCTGCTTCTAGGAACATCTGTCACCATTCACTTCCCCATTCCATGAGCGGGGCTGTTGTCTTGCAGTGGGGCTACAATACGGCCCTTATGCTTCCCACCAGGAGCCTAAGCATCGCTGCCCGTAAGACTGAGGCCACAGATGTCATTTTAAAGCAATGGAAATCAAGACTTGCAGAGGTGCTATGCTATACGTTAGGAACATGGGTTGTTTTTCTTTCAATAGCTCATTTAATGCAGGTAAAATTAAACCCATTCTAAAAACAGAACTTTCCTTACAATTCCCACTGTTCGGTGGGAGCAGAGTCCAATGGTGCATTGTTCAAATGGCAGGGTGGCAGCTTCCTGTCTGATTGTTAATTATTCTTTAAAACACTTCTTTGTAAGTGTTAGTATATAGGCTTATTTGCCAGCCTGAGATAGAATTTGGGGTTTCAAGTTTTGATACTCTTATATCTTATACTAAGAAGTGTGAAGAACAATGAATAAAGACTGTGTTGCATTTCCCACAACCAGATGGGGCTTTTAGTACAATGGGGAAAGATAAGGGATACAGCTGAAGTGTTACTGGGCATGGTGGGAATGTAAT